TACTGCTACTGCTACTACTGCTACTACTACTACTACTACTACTACTACTACTACTACTACTACGACTACTACTACTACTACTACTACAACTACTACTACTACTGCTACTACTACTACTACTACTACACCTCCGCTGGGCCTCCCAGAGCCCACGAAAGTGGCGACAGTTGCGCAGATCGCAAGCCCCCCAGGGGGCGGCGAGGTCCCAAGGTGGTCCATGTGGGACGTGCCTCCGCTGGGCCTCCCAGGAGCCCACGAAAGTGGCGACAGTTGCGCAGATCGCAAACCCCCCAGGGGCGGCGAGGTCCCAAGGTGGTCCGCGTGGGACGTGCCTCCGCTGGGCCTCCTAGGAGCCCACGAAAGTGGCGAGAGCTGCGCAGATCGCAAGCCCCCCAGGGGGCGGCGAGGTTCCGAGGTGGTCCGCGTGGGACGTGCCTCCGCTGGGCCTCCCAGGAGCCCACGAAAGTGGCGACAGTTGCGCAGATCGCAAGCCCACCAGGAGGCGGCGAGGTCCCGAGGTCGTGGGACGTGCCTCCGCTGGGCCTCCCAGGAGCCCACGAAAGTGGCGACAGTGGCGCAGATCGCAAGCCCACCAGGGGGCGGCGAGGTCCCGAGGTGGTCCGCATGGAACCTCCGCTGGGCCTCCCAGGAGCCCACGAAAGTGGCGGCAGTTTCGCAGATCGCAGCCCGACGGCACGAGAGAAGTGGAGAGGGGAACACAGGAGACAGGAGAGGAGGAGGGGAGGAGGGGGGAGGAGGAGGAGGATGAGAGGAGGGAGGAGGAGGAGGAGGAGGAGATGAGGAGGAGGAGGAGGAGGAGGAGGCGACCACACTGCTCCTTTTAAAACGAGTACCCAACGCCGCCCCCCCTCTCGGCCGCGGGCGCCGCCCCCGGCCCCAGGGTGCGGGGACCTGCAGTTCGCCCGCAACACGCAGTGCCGAAAGTGCGGCACGCCGAACCCGGTCGGGGGCGGCGGCGGCGGGGCGGCTTTCGGCGGCGGCGGCGGGCCAGCGGGCATCCCGGACAGCCGCGGGCGCGGCTCGGCGGCAGGAGGAGGCCAGGAGGAACCGTGGGGGTAGAGCCGTGGATGGGCAGGAGGAGGAGGAGGAGGAGGAGGAGCAGGAGGAGGCGGAGGAGGTGGAGGAGGAGGAGGAGGAGGAGCAGGAGGATGAGGTGGAAGAGGAGGAGGAGGCGGAACAGGAGGATGAGGTGGAGGAGGAGGAGGAGGAGGAGGAAGAGGCCAGTGTAAATCCAAGAGTCATCAATGATGTTGAAATCAACCCTCCCTCCGAGCTCCCGCTTCACAGGCCCCAACAAGGGTTCATTTCCACTGAAGGTACTGCCTCGTTGGAGGGCAACCGTTTGAAGACCCTGAAGCATGCTAGAACATGGTTCTGGGGATTCCAACGCCCCGGATCAACCTGACTGTTGCGTCCTGACGATCCTGAGTCGTGCCAGAACGCTATTCCTGGGACTTCAACACCGCGAACCAACGTAACTATTGCACCCTCATAATCCATAGTCCTTCAAAAACACCATGCGTGGTATGCTGATCATGGGAATCCGTGATACTCTTTCACATGCGCAGTGGCAAGGCGAGAGCCACATTTTCAAAGGAACCACCCGCAATCCCTGAAGCTGGTGCAACTTGAGTGCAGTATTCCCAAACAGGGTTTTTGTTGACCCAATGCGGTTTCCAAGGTCGATTGCGTGCCCGTCCAGTGCGGACTGGCATGGCATGTTAGAACATGATTGCATGATGTTTGCCCATGAGATGTTTGCACGAAATCTTGTGTGACACATACCTGTCAGGAAGCTAACGCTAGAGGGTGTCGTACTCTTTCGCGCCTGGTCGACGAGTAAGCTGTCGGGTCGGCATTGTGAGAGGCTCCACCGCCATGCTGTGCACTCGGAAGCAACTGTAAGAGGAAGCGAGGGAGGACGCGGAAGCGGGGGGGCATGTCGTGATGGTTCCCCCGGGGATGATATCGAGAGGTACGCGGCGCACGTCTCAAAAGAAACATCGTGACGTCGGATGTCTGGGGAGGGCGGAAGGCAGTGCGCGCATGACAGATGCTGAGGCGGCAGAAACGGCGACGGCGGGGACGGGGAGGCGGAGGCAGAGGCGCAGCAGCGGGAGGCGGGAGGCGGGAGGATGGAAGAGGAGCCAGGCGGGAAGTGGGAAGAGGGAGGCGGGAGAAGGAATGAGAGAGGTTGTGATTGGAGCCCCTGTGCTACGAAACGTCTCAGGCAGAACGGGCCAGACCATCTCGCGCGCAACATCTTCGAGCCTCGCAGTGCGAGGATGGCTCAATCGAAACGGGCCGGGCCACCTCGCGAGCGACATCTTGGAGTTCAGTATTGGAAGGATGTCTCAAACGAAACGGGCCGGACAACCTCTCGCACACGTTCTGACAAGTCCACGTCACACTCGCTTCCCGTTGGGTCCTCTCCTGCAACTCCCTTCCTTCTCCCTCCTCCTCGTCCTCCTCCTCCTAC